AAGCAAACTTCCTCAACCCCAGAACACACCAAAAGGATCCAGACCGTGCCAGGACAAGAAATGCAAAACCTGCCCCCACATCTCCCCCACCCCCACTATTACTACACCCCACAACAGAGCTATCAGCATCCCAGGATCTTACAGCTGCACCTCCAGGAATGTAGTATACCTCATCCAATGCACCAAATGCCCTGATGGAAGATATGTAGGAGAGACCAGACAACAACCGCGCACCAGAATGAATGCACACCGGAAATCCATCAAAGACAGAAACACCCAATTACCGGTGGGGGCACATTTCTCACAGGAGGGCCACTCTCTCTCCAATCTCTCAGTCCTGATCCTCAAGGGAAATTTACACAACACATCCCAGAGACAAGCCTACGAGCTCCATTTCATCAACCTGCTGGATACTAGAGATCAGGGACTAAACATAGACATTGGATTTTTGATACATTATAATCTGCCTGGCAACTGACTCCCCAGCCCAGCCCAGCCCCTGGCTTCTTTACTTTTCATTCCATCCAGGAAGAGCACACACCAACTGCTGCAGCTTCCTGAGCCTGACGAAGGGTTTTTGAACCCGAAAGCTTGCTTAATAACTATTCTCCAACCATTTGGGTTGGTCTAATAAAAGATATCAAATTCACCCAAGGAACCTTGTCTGCCTATATCCTTAGACCAACACAGCTACAACCTAAACTCCTATACCATGTACTTGCCTTAATGTCTTCCACTTCTTTCCTCCCTTGAATAACGAGATGTAGCTTAGTAGACATCCATCCCTTATTCAGGAAACTGGAATTCCACAGAGAATTTTTGTTTTAATGGAAAAAGACTTAGAAGTTCAATTCACTGAAAACCAAGATGAAACAAAAAATGGGTCTGTGGACACTCACCTGCATGTAGAGATATCTTGCAGTTACTGGATACATCTTTCTTTATAATGAGGATTATCACTTTCAGTCAGTGTTCTTTTTTATGTGTGTGCACAGACTTTGTGTGTACATGTACACAGACTTTGTGTGTACATGTGTTTTTGTTCAGGATAATTGAGAACAACTTTCTGTAAAAAGTTGAAGATTGTTACATGTTACCACTTTAACATTAAGGACTGTCCAAAGCCCATTTTGATTTTTCATAAAAGTCTTTTTCCCTGCTCAAGAGCTCAATACATTTAGGGCTGT